CATGTGTAAGGCCCTTGCTATGTGAAAGGCTATGTGCAAGACTAAGTGTTTCAATCTCCTTAAAAGATGAATATTCTGCTCCACAGCCCTGACCTATCCCTTGGTCAGTAATTTCAGTCATGTCTGACTCTTTGTAACTCTATTTGGAGTTTTCTTGGCAAAGACTCTGGAATGGTTTGCCATTTTCTTCTCCACCTCATTTTACAGATGAGGAAACTGAGGCAAACAGAATTAAGTGACTTGTTCAGAGTCACATAGCTAGTAAGTGTCTGGGGCCAGATTTGAACTCAGGAAGATGAGTCTTCTTGACACCAGGCCTGGCACTCTATGCACTGTGCCACTTAGCTGTCCCTGACCTATCTCTTAATCACAGCTATTTTGACAATGTGAATAAATTGTTCCCCAGGGAAACAAGAGAATTTAGATAATTTGGTACTAGAAAACAACAGTACTGGGGGAAAAACAATTTAAAGTTTTCTTTTCATCCCACTATAGTAATTATTGTTATCTTAGTATATAAAGGACTTTTTTCCCCCTCTCAAAATGGGTGACAAAGGATCCTAACATTTGCATTCATAACAGATAAGACTTTACTTTTCTCACCTGGTATTCATTTTAGGATCTTCCCTTGCACTGGCTTAAAAAAGAAAAGAAAAGAAAAAGATTGTACACAGGATCTGTATAATCAGTCACTTTTCTCAAGGAATTCTAGATTTTTAGTATCTATATATTTAGTATTCTAGACTTTAGCATCTATAATAGTAGCTCTTTTCAATTAAATTGAGCCTTTATACATTATAAGAGTTAAAGACATTATGGCTGTACAGAAATTGTTTTTCTATGTTTGCAGTAAATATAAGAAAAAAACTTGCCTCCACATGCCCAAAATTAGTCTGTCTCATTAAAAGTTAGCATTTACATTTAATTTAGATCCATAGTATGTTCAAAAGGATGAAAGAAAGTATTTGCGGTGTTTGGCCTTTTCTATTTCTGAGGCCCTTCTGGGGTCTGGAGTTCCATATTTTTCCCAAAGCTTAGACCCTATCTTATCCTAGCTCAAAATAAGAACTAAAACATTACTAACTGCCTACACTGTATCTCAAATGGTGCCACAGGCCACACTGTGGTACTGTGCTAGCTCAATCTATTCACTCACCCATTATTTAGTCAACTTAAAGACTCAAATCTCTGTGATTTGGGGATTTCTGCATTTATCATTATCCAACCATCTGTACTGCTGCTATTTGATCAATTTATTAAAAGAAACATGATGAGAGGTTATAGTTGTAGATTTCTATTAGTATTAAAACATATTTCAGGGGCAGCTAAGTGGCGCAGGGGATAGATCACCAGCCCTGAAGTCAGGAGTACCTGAGTTCAAATATGACCTCAGACCGAACATTGACACTTACTATCTGTGTGACCCTGGGCAAGTGACTTAACCCCAACTGCCAAAAAAAAAAATTCAAAAAAAAATCAAGAAAAAAACTTTCTGTGCAGATAAAAAATAACCTCACTTCTCCCTATCTACCTACCTATCTCTCCACGTATATATGCATTTATGTTTTATGTATATGTATGTGCATATATATAATTGCATGCATATTTATATTGAGAAGAGATTAATCCTCCAAACCATAACTACTACTACTGAATTTTGTCCACTAAAAAGCAACAACAGAAAACAACTGACAAAATATTGCTCATTTGTCTGGTAGAAAAATGATAGGAAAAAATAACCAGACAAACAACAAAAACAACAATGAAGCCTGCAAATTAGCTAGAATTTCTATGCTCATTATATTCTCTGTTATATTCCCAGGAGATGTAAATGCATCTAAAGTACATTTCATGAACACTCTGTCTAGCACATGCTGTCTCAAGGCAATGAGGAATGTACCTAATTCCATTTCATCACCATTGGATAATATCAAAGACTCCCATTTTGAGGATTGTTCAACTATTCAAATAAACTGATGACACTGGTCCAGCAAGTCAGAACCTTAAAAAAACCCCAAATCCAAACCAAAACCCACAGTTTACATAGCACAATAGATAGAATTCTGGGCCTGGAGTCAAGAAGACCTAAGCACAAAATCAAGTGGCCTTGGGTAAGTTGCTTAACCTCTCTCTGCTTCAGTTTTCTCAAATGAAAATGTGGATAATAATGGCACCTACCTAGCAGGGTTGTCATAAGGATCAAATGTGATATTTGTAAAGTACTTAGCATAGTGCCTAGCACACAGTAAGTGCTCAAAAATGCTAGGTGGTAGTAGTAGTAGTAGTAGTAGTAGCAGAGTAGTATTGGTTAATACTTATTATCAAATACATCATGCCTTTTATGTAATATTTGGAAGGAATTGTGAGGACTTTATAGGGTGATACATTTTTAAAGAGCTCTTTGGTTATGATTATTGATTATGCTTTAATTTGTGCCATATTTAATTTGGGTAAAGTTTCTGATTGAATACATAACGCAGTTATGTTATTTCATTTAAGTCACCACTAAAAACTAGGAATAACCTTTATTTAATGTAAGTGCTTTTGAACACCATATGGGGGAAGAAACAACTAAATGAAAATTGTTCACGTATATGTGATGGGGGTGGGGAGACAACAGCATTTCGTGACATGTGGCATGTCACTCAGTGAAGTAAAAGGCCCATCATATCCAAAATGCCAGCTTGTGATATTCCTTTGCCTTCTCCTTCACTAACAGACATGCCACATGTCACTAAATGCTGCAACCTTCTCTAAAAATGCCATCCATATTGGTCAACCATAGTATACAAGAACTACTGATTTGTCATTTTAATTTATGACTATAAAACAAGGGGAAACCAACACTGGCCAAATTTTGTCCTCAGATATTAAGTATGAATGATCAATCAACATCTGAATTGTTTTCTTCCCCATATTTGAAAAATAAGGTGTGCTACTGTCAAAATAGTTTCACAAAGGAATAGTATTTTTTTTTAAGACAAAAATATTCTATTTTAGGAAATGATCCATTTTGGGCATGATGGCATATTTATTGCGACAGGAGAGGCTGAGGCTGATGAATTTCTTCAGCCAAAAGGTTCTGAGCTGTAGTAAGCTCAGCTGACTAGGTATTGGTATAAAATCTGACACCAATATGCTAAGCTCTTGGGAGTGGATGCCTAAGGAGAGGAGCCCTAGCTCAGGTAGGAAACAGAGAAGGTCAAAGTTCTCATGCTAATTGGTATTAGGATTAGGCCCTTAAGTGGCTGCAATACTTCCAGCCCAGACAAGATAGGGAGACTCAATCTCAGGGCAGGGAGTGGGGGGAGTGTCCACTGTGCTTATGCGAAAAGCACCAAATATGAAAGTGTTTAAAATATATTCTTTTCAGCAGTGCAATTATAATTATGATAGTGATAATACCTTACATACATATGCCACTTTCCAAAGGAAAAAGTGTTTTCCTTGCATTATCTGATTTTGTTTTTACAACAACCTTTGGTGACAAGTAGGGAAGATATCAGTATCCCCACTTACAGATAGCTTAGAGAAATTAAGACTTTTTTAAGGTCACACACCTTACATACTTAATAAGAGATGGAGCTTGTTCAATGTTTTTTTTCCAATGGACATAGCCTATCCAGTATGAAAACACTTTTATTCCATATATATTATTCATAATTACTGTCGGAAAGCTATATACCTAGATTCATGTTTATATGATTGCTATAGGAGTATTCATTTTTTCATATAACACAATATATATCACAGTATCTTATGAGATAAAATGAAGACTTGCCCCTCCAGAGGCTGTAATTGGGAACACTGGGTTGAAGTTGCAAAGAGAGACATATTTTTCCTTGATATCAAAAGTAGGGTTCCTTGGGAGGTAAGAGGATTCCCCTTCACTAGAGATCTTTGGGCAAGATGATCACTTGTCAGGTATTTTGCAGAGAAGACTCTTGTCCCAGTCCAGTTGAGACCCAATGGCTTCAGATCTTCCAGATCTGAGATGCTCTAATCTAATTACTAGTCCTCAAGCTTTTCAGTCTATATACCACATAAGTATAAAAGTGAAAGAACAAAAATCCTACCAATCTCAGGGGATTTTTGCCCAGGTAGAGAGCTATTACTACTATTGCATGCCTAAATTGTTAATTATTGTGCTGTTTAATGCAGACTCAAATGTGCAGTGGAAAATAGATTTTTATCAAAAAGCCCCAACAAAATGTATATGAGTATATCACTTGTGTTTAGAACCAACCTAGCAAGGATTTGGAAAAAAAATTATTTAGAGGCAGCACAGGGTTCTGGAAAGAGTGTTGGACTTGGAGTCAAGAGCTGTGGGTGCCAATCCTCACTCAGACGCTTCATTAGTTATGTAATCTTGAGCAAATCACTCAGTTTTTCAGATCCTATATATAAAATGGGGATAATAATCTTTGTGCTAGTTACCTCATAGTAATATGAGAGGAATGTTTTGGAAACTTTAACACCTCACATAAATTTGAGTTATTTTTTGAACATTGTTCTGTGCTATTTTGGTAAGTGAAAGAAGCAACAAAAAACAGAGAACAGAAATGTAATCTCCCATTAAATTGCTAAAATTAGGCATATGGTAAATTGGGGAATATGTATAGCTAGGTGGCACAGTAGATAGAATGCTGAGCCTGAAATCAGGAAGACTTATCTTCCTGAGGTCAAATCTGGCCTCAGACACATTAGCTATATCACCCTGGGCAAGTCACTTAATGCTGTTTCCTCATCTGTAAAACGAGCTGGGGAAGGAAATGGCAAATAACTCTAGTGTATTTGCCAAGAAAATTCCCAAATGTGGTCACAAAGAGTCAGATATGACTGAAATGACTAAACAACAACAAAATTAGGGAATGGGTTTTGAGGAATATTTAGTTTTAAACCAGACAATTAATTTGTAATAACTAAAAAAAAAAAAGCCAAGATTATGATTTGAAAATTCTATGCTTTATTTTGCTAATAGAAAATTTTCAGTTCTGTGTATTTCTATTTATTGATTCAATATGTAAATCTTTGATGGTTTCATAATGCCATTAAAACGTTCTGCATAAGCTCCTATATTGGTTTACCAGGGTACTCAATATTGTTTCATTTTTTTAAAAATATGCATTCTTTGGAAATTAAAAAATCATCAATTTTTAAAGTGCTGAATTTGTCAAATTTATTTTCTGACAAATGATTCAATAATAACTGTAAAAAAAAGATTTGTCTAAACAGAAACTTTTATAATATATACTGTATAAAGAAACATCCTTTATTCTTGTATAATTTATTTCCTCTTTGGGATTTAATTGAGTAATGTCTTGAGAGGTGAAATGTAAATTTGTATAAAGCAAAATTTCAAAAACTTTGGATCATTTTTATTTGGAAGAATATGCATGAAAAAGATTTTTTTTTTTTACATATTCCTAACAAGAGGAGCAAACTGATACTTCAAGCAGCAGGAACAACATAATTAAAATAGAATTCCAACTTTGTATTAATAAAGTGATATACTAATTAAAATCAACATCAACTGAACTTTCTATTTACACCAGTTCAGACAGCCCAAGAGGCAAAGAACTAGATTTTAGAGGCATATGTGACTCTTCGAGCTTCTGTCATCCAGGTGCCATTTCTGAAAGAGCACATGTGCGCTGAACAGTTGGCGAAGAAAGAAAAAGATGACTGTAAATGTATGTGCGGATAGAATCTATGATGAAATAAAATATGCTTGTAGAAAAAGTAGCATTTTCTTCTAAAACACAAAATTTCCTGGAACTTTTCCTTCAATCACATAAGTATGAATGCAATCTGAGTAGGTATCCATAAATAAGAATAAACTTTAATTTAGAATTTCATTCCATGTGATTGGAAAGAAACAAAGGATTTGATGATCAGAAAACAATTCTCATTCTTGCAATTGTACTAGGACAATTGGACTAGGCTTTCCAAGAAGAGAAGTTCCATTGTTTTTTTGTTTGTTTGTTTGTTTTGTTTTGTTTTGTTTTGTTTTAATAACTAAGCAGTATACGTAGAGAAAACTTGTCTTTTCTGCAATATAAGAAAAACAATAACAATGCTGGGAAAAATGTCCAGTGCAACTTGACATTCCATTACAAGGTGAGGATCTTTGCTTGATATTCATTTAAACCTTAAAACTGTTCCCCAAATGAAGAATAGCTGAAAGATCCTGAGGAGTTTCATGCTTTGAAAAAGTTCAGAATGTTGTTGGTGAGAGCATTCTCAAATAGTGTTATCCACGGATTCCCTTTTCCAAAAAGGGACTGAGATCCAATGATCAATGCACTGCTAATTTCCATTCACCTCCAGGACAGGGTCAACCTCAGTGGATAATTTGAGATAAAAGAAAGCATAGAAAGCCAGCAGGAGTACCAATATAGCTGCAAGGACAAGGCCTACTTCCTAGAGAAGGAAAAAAAAAACAACTTAAAAACAATGAAAAGAATCATTTTAACACCAATGAAACCTAGTAAATCCCACTTATTTTTGTATACCTGCTAAAACTAGCTTTCCAATTCAATCTTTACCCTTTTGTGAACTGAAGAGAGGTTGCCATGAAACCTTCTTACCTATGTTTTGCCTTAGGATTTTCAGAAGAATGGTAAGGGTTTGAATGGGTGGGTTAATATGCTACTATTACTACTACACTTTCTTTTTTAATTTCTGCTCTTAGCCACAGAAGTATGAGAATACAATGTGTTTTGTATTTATAGGGTACTCCATTCTACTCCTACCACAATGATCATCAATAAGTTTACTATAGTAGCTGCAATTCAGTTAATTTCATTCTGTGAAAACTGCTTTTTGATGTAAAAATCATTCCATTTATTGGACTGTAGCCTTTGGCCCATAATTGATGATGAGTTAGTTTATCCTTCTTAAACACCACTCAAATTTTTAATATATAATCTCTAAATTCCATAGTTTATAACATAGTGTAACAAAGGTAAACTACATTATTTTCTTACATGTAGTAAGTACAATCCACTTTAACACACTATCTGCCCCAAACATCCTGTGAACCACAGAGAATAATTTTGGATAGTTTATTATATGCTTGATATGAATTGCAGCCATCATTTACATGGGGAATTATGGCAAAAAAAACCCCAGTGATTATGATGATTTATATCAGCTTTTCTGTAGGAATGCAAACCATGTCTCAATAAAGCAAGCCAGTATATTTATTCTACCCATATGACCACAACAGGAAGGCCTCATCTCAAGATTAACTCATCATTAGACAAAATAGAAAAAGGAAAGGGCAAATAGGCCATCCTAAAATTCAGAAAGAGTTAAGACTCCCTTGGGGTTTTTCACTTACAAATCATGTCCACAACCTAGAATTTTTTTATAAAGAGATGGACATTTGCATTTCCATAAATGAAGTTTTCCCCCCTGAAAGAATGTTAGCTTAGTAATGTAACAGATACCACAACCAAACTTTAAAAAATATTAAAATCAATTTTATTTATTGTTCAAACATGGATTTTTTACTGTAATATTGAAATTACAAATGGTCACTTTGCATATTTACCTAGGTTACTGCATTTATTTTGGGTTATCAAAATAAATTTCAATCAAAATAATATTGTGGCTGAAAAGTTAACATGTGATTCCATAAGATAATTTTTAGAAACAATATTGAATTTACTAATATAATATGTCAAATGAAAATTCATTTTTCTTTGTTACCACTGGAGTTCTTTGGCATCTCAGAAGGGCATGGCAGCATCAGACAGGTTTCATTTATTTTCGTGTATCCACAGCTGTGCTCCCAGACCCATCTGGTTACACAGCTACTAATTTTAAGAGGATGTAATAAACAAGTGACACACAACTCTGTGAGCTCCATCTGCTCTGTGTAGTGGACAGCAAAAGTGCTTGACAGCTTCCATTCACACTGATGTAGTCCAGGACTAAAGTTTTCTTTGGCTTGGCAGCCATCATTCACCCTTCACTGTTAATCAATCACTGTGCTCCTCGCCTCTGCCTTAAAAATGTTTTCCCAACATGCACATCAAAGGTTTCTGTATCTGAAGATGCAATATAAATATTCTCAGGTTTGGAAAACAAAGAAGGATTACAGAATCCACAAATTGTCTGATGGATGTTCATCCTGGTAATGAAGATGCCTGTTTTTTCTACCATGGCTTCAATTACATAGGTATATGTAATATACACATGCATACATGTGCCTGTACACACATCTCTCTGTGTACTTACTTGCATTTGTCATTCAAATTAGGATGCTTACTACTTATGTGAATTTGGTTAAATCCCTTAATTTCTTTGGGCATCAGTTGCTTAATCTGTAAAATGAAGGCATAATACTAGATAACTTCTAAGGTTACTTCCAATTCCCTTACAGACTCTGAGGTCTTGGAATTGATAGAGCAAAGGGTTTGGAGTCAGGAAGGTCCATGTTCAAATCCTATCTCAGTCACTGAAGAGCTATGTGATCCTAGATAAGGCAACCACTCAGTCTCAGTTTCTCCATCTGCAAAATGAAGGGATTGGACTCAACATCTTCTAAGGTCTCTTGTAGGTCTAAATCAATAATCTCATGATTTCTTCTGGTCCTATACTTATAAAACACATCTTCACAGTTAAGGGGGATCTCAGAGGTGTGGCAATATGATAGACCAGGGATATTTAACCTAGTTCAAACCTAGTTCTAGCCATTTTGTTGTGGAGATTAGCACCATGAAGGCTAATGCTTTGAGCATGGAACAGTTTGAAAAATTGGTTCATGAATGCCTCTGAGCAATGGAACTAGTTATAATTTGAGAGCCTATATGCATTAAAAGTCTTCCAAAACTAATGTTATTAGGATCAGATCACAAAGACAGTACCAGAAAGCCATTTCAAAGCCCAGAGCTTCAAAGATCTAACTTTTCAAATCTGTTGTTCCAGGCAGTTAGCAGGATCTGGCTATTATTTGAATATTGCTTTACTTGGATGTTTTATTAGTGTAACAGGAAATTTTTAAGATTAATTTTAAGATCTAGAGTAGCTAGAAACCTTCAAAACCTCAGAGACAGGAAACTCTGGAATCAAGTCCAGTTTGTGACAGATACTGGTTGTTTGACCCCAGGAAAGTCCCTTTACCTATCCTTGCCTCAGGAAACTTTCTAAGACTAAAAGTTGCAGAATGGTTGCTGATCTGCTTTGTAGGGAGATAGTTTCTTCACTGGGAATGTCTTTTTGTGATAAAACCACAGGTCCAAACCAAATTGCTACAGTAGCTTTATCAGCTAAAATCTTACTTTTGAAAGCAAAAGGTTAAATCTACATTTTTCTTCCTCTTAATAAAAGTAAACATACGGATGAATGAGTAATTGAATTCTTTAAAAAATAGCTATGATTCAATTTTAGCCACATTTTAATTTTTGGCTCAAAATCTTCTAATTAAAAAGCAACCAAAATGTAAACACCAGTTGCACAGATATTTATGACATTCCTTTTTCTATTGGGTCATAACTTCAGGTACTTTATTATGTTCAAATTCATTTAAAAAAAATAACACAAATCTAACTTCTCATTTGAAAATTAATTCTTTTAGTTAAATACTACATTTCCATGCCAAACCTTAAACATTAATTCTATTAGTAGTCATATGACTTTAAATAAGGGCCAATAATAATAAATTTGATAAAAATAGTAATAAATTTAAATAACTTATATGAATTTAAATAAGGGCCAAAAAACCTACAACAGATTATGAGATATTTGAGTGCAGTCAACAAACAAGCATTAACATACAAAATGCCAGAGATTCTGCTAAGCACTTGGGATACTCTCAAAGAAAGGTAAGGAATTCATAGTCTACTGCAGAAGACAACATGTAATGATGCATATGTAAATATATATTTGGTTTTTGTTCAGTCGTGCCCAACTCTTCATGACTCCATTTGGGGTCTTCTTGGAAAAGATAATAGAGTGGGTAGCCATTTCCTTCTCCAGCTCATTTTACAGATAAGGAAACTGAGACAAACAGGGTTAAGTGACTTGGCCAGAGTCACACAGCTAGAAAATGTCTAAGGCTGCATTTGAACTCAGATCTTCCTGACTCTAGGGCCAGTGCTCTATCTACTATGCCACCTAGTCCCCTAAAGATAAAGAGATAGATACATATATGGATACATACATGCATACATGCACATATATACATACCTATGCAGAGTGAGACAAAGACAGAGAGAGAAGGGCAGAGAGAGACAGAGGGACATAGAGAAAGAGAAAAAAGAAGGAAAGGAGAAAGAGACAGGAAATGAGGAGAGAGAGAAAGAAAGGAGAAAAGAGAAAAGAGGAGAGGAGAGGAGAGGAAGAGACAGAGAGAGTATAAAGGCTTCTTATACAAGGAGGGTGGTTTTTAAGTTGAATCTTGAATGAAGCCAGAGAAACTAAGAATGAATTGGGAGATAGTGGTGTGCAAGAAATAGTGTGTAAACTAGTGTCATGAGTTGACAGTGTATTAAGGGAAGGATAGTATAAGAAGGTTGGAAAGCCGGGAAGGAGTTAGTTTGTGAAATGCCAAACAGAGCACCTAGCATCAAGCCTTGCATGTAGTAGGTGCTCAATAAATGTTAAATGAATGATGTCATAATGATATTCAGAATCATTTCAGTTGTCAAAAGGCTATAATTCATAGGAATTAGTGAGGACAAAAGCAAACATTTTACCATCCTACGCATATGAAAGCTTAAAAATGTTTTAAAAGACATCATTATAATTCATCTTAAAGAACAAGTTGTAAAAGGATAAAATATGACATGATTATGGTCATTCTGGTTCAAATAGATAAGAGTAAAAACTTTGGATGCTTATTAGTCCTTAGCTGCTTTGGTGACATTATCAACATGGATAAAATCACTCATTGGGGAAATTAAAAAGCATTAAATGGCAATAGCTGAAAGAAACTTGGTTACTTTAAATCCTATGTTGAAATGACAAGGCAATCAAAGTTTGACAGGACAACCTAATTAGTGTGCCAGGTTTGAAATGCAGAATACCTCCAGGGGTCTGATTCTAAAAAAGTTTCACATCATTTTAATGGGCTATTCACATCAGTTTTCAAGCAAAGTAAACAATTTTTAAACGTTTTTTGTTTTCCATAGGTTGGCAACTCAAAATGACATGCCAATTTATTAAACAGGGGATACATAATACTCTACTTTTTAAACTCTTCTATGACTACTTTGTATTGTATATAAAGTCCAGGAAAAATATTCATTTTCCTGATAAAAGGACAAGCATATTTTGTACTGTTCTTGAAATGGCATCATGCATTTGCAATTGCCAGAGTTCATCCTCAGCTCACAACATTATTGCCTTAAAATTTAAAAATCAATCCCCAATGAGTATTTAGGCTAGCTGTTTGAACTTAAAGAAAGTGTATGTTGCTAAAATCATAAGTTATTTTCCTTAATTTAAATACATAACTCTTTAACTATGCTAAGAAGCATGAAGCTTTTGTTTTCCAAGACTAGCATCCTTTAGAATTAAGGACCATCCAATAAAAGATATAAAGGAGAGACATTCTTGTCTGGCACTTAGCACAGAGCCTGCCGTATAGAAGGCATTTAATAAATGCTTGTGGATTGCTGATTGGAGGAGGAGGGATAATCTTATCTCATAAGAATCCTCAATAAATTTAATACTCAGATTTTTAAAAAATTAACTTAGATCTGAACGTACAATAAAAAGTTGAATTTTTTTTTTAAAAAGGGCATGTCATGGACATAACTTTTTAAAAAGGGGAATGAAATTTCACATAAAAGAACTCAAAGAAAGGCTTAAAAAGGTTAATCATCTATCTTTTAAACAAAAAGGCAATCTCCTTTTTCTCATTAAAAACTGACACACTGCACTAACGGAGGAGATTATGTTGTGAAAACATTCTGCAGCACAAGGCAATGCTTGATCAAGATCAGCAATCAGGAGCAAAAAGAAAGCCCTGTTTCATGATTATAATAGCAAATTCTGGAAGACAACCAAATATATCATCTGGCAGCTCAACAGCTGTTACAGGCTGGTAGTAATACCTTGGCATTTGCTATAAGCTGTAATGTGGAAAAATTGATTTTTCATCTGCCAGAAACAAGAAAACACTCTCCTTTTTTTAAAAAAAACATTTCTGAGATTTCTTTAAATAAAATATCTATATTGAGCAATTTTTATTTTGTATGTTTGATAGTAGGATTGCCAAGTTAAAATAAATCATTAGTAGAGAAATTAACAAATACAGCTGAAAAGAAAAGAACAGAGTTAACAATGGAAATAAATAGAATTTAGCTAAACTACATTGTATACTAACACAATTGTATTGGGTTGCATTTGATATCTTATAGCACAGACTAATATAAATTAACTTAGGTTGAACTGCATATATAGTTCCTAGGCAGTTAAAAATTTAAAAAAAATCCTGAGAGACTAAATCTAGGATGTTTTTCAGAGTTGAAAGAGAGGGTACTGGCATTTGTCATTAAGAATAGCAATAAGCTTCATAACAGCAAATATATTTTACTGATGAATTATCCAGAATACAGAGAGTAACAATTGGATTTTAAAAAACTATTACAAATAATATCTTGAAAATGTAGAGAGTGACTAATATTATATACATCATTGAGGTTTCTGAACTATGTATATAGTAGCTAAATAAAAATAAATAAAATTCTAAGAGTATTACTACATTTGATTGATTCAATTAAATAAATTCATGTTTCATTTAAGGTTTTGGAACACTTAAAACCCTTTCATATCTTTCTCCATTACTCAGGAGTTAGAAGATGCTTTAAATAAATGCAGTCTTTTATAAATATTTTAGATCCTGGCATTCTACATAAAGTTTGAAGTGAAGTTGCTCAGAAATCAGCACTTTCTTTTAAAAAAGAAAGAACAAAAGGGGGGGGGGGAGAGAGAGACACAGAGAGAGAGAGAGAGAGAGAGAGAGAGAGAGAGAGAGAGAGAGATTGAGAGAGAAGTGACATGCATTCAGCAAATTCATAAAATTATGTCTACCTTTATGCCTATCGCTGCTTTCTTGGCTTCTGCTTTTAACTTGGCTGCTCTTAAAACAGGTCTGTTTTTCTTGTAGTCCTGTTTACCTAGGGTAAAACAGTTTCAGAGAATGTTTGGATTACAATTTGCTCATGTTCGATAGTAGATTAAATAATTCTTTAACAGAATGAAATAGGCACAATGTGATTGAAAACAGAAGAGGAACAAGAAGGTGCTTTGCAAAAGGCACTGGATCATGAGTAAGGAGATCTAGATTCCAGCCCTGACCACTCCTCCCTAGTAGTTTGAATCTAGGCAAGTAACTTAACCATAGTTTCTTCATATGTAACATGAAAGGACTGGATTAGCTGTAAAAGTCTATGCATAGATTTAGAATTTTATGAACACCTACAAAACTTTTTCTCAATAGTAAAGGAAGCATTTAGTTTATTACTTTTTATGAAACAAATATGGTTCTTTTATCCAAACCAGGGAGGGATAAGGCAGATAAACTATAGTCCAATTTCCTTAATGTTTATTTAGGCAAAAATTAAAAAAAAAATCTTAACATAGAGATTGGAGCAGTATACTCTCAAAATATTAAGAAAAAGTAGTTATTACAGAGATGCAAGAATGGTTTAACATTAGAAGAATGAATAGCATATTTAACCATATGAACAAGATAAAGCCACATGATTAAATCAATAAATGTGGAAAACATCTTTTATAAAAGTAATTCTCATTTGCATTAAAAATCTAAAGATTAAGCATGGAAATACCTTTTTAAAATAATATCTAAATATGATTTAATATATCTGAAACCAATAATGGCAGTATTTTCAATGAAGAAATACAGAGCTATAGAATAAGTGCAGGGATAATGCAAGGGTATTTCATCTCTCTGTAATTTTGATCTAGTAACAGGAATGCTAGCTATAATAATTAGAGAAGAGAGAGAAATAAGGTATAAACACCATTAAAGAACAGACAAAACTATGCCTGTTTTTAAGTAATGTTTCTCTTAAGCAACCTCAGAAAATCTGCCCAGAAACTAAGCAATATGACTGATAACTTCAATAAAATGGCAGAAAACAAAATATACTTCCCAAATCATCAGCATTTCCATATAAATGAAGAAACTGAGGCAGGTAGAAGTTAAGTGACTTGCCAAAGTTCACAAGTTCACAATTAGTGTTTGAGGAAGGTTTTGAATGAACTTGGGTCTCCTTGAGTATAGTTCCAGCATTCTACTCACCCTGCCACTTAGATTTCACACTTGGTATTTATTAAAGTACACACTCATGCTTATAAAAATCCTACAAAACAATATTTATAGAAATAAAGAAAAACTATGTAATTGGAAAGATATTAATTGTTTATTGTTAGGCTAGGCTGGACAATATATAATTTTTAAATGGAGTTAACTAAAATAGTTTGCAGATTTATTGGTAGGAAATACTAATCAAGGAATCAAGGAATTTCTTTATAGACCTTGCTAAAATAATAATTAAGTTCATTTGGATGAACAAAAGATTGTGAATCTTTAGTGAAATAATGAAAACAAAAAGGAATTACCAGATTTAAAGTTATATCAGGAGGTAGCAATCATGAAAATGTTTAGGTACTAGCAGATTAACTTAGTTGAAGAAGCAAGGTGGCACAGTGAATAGAGTGTCAGAGTTGGAGTCAGGAAGACCTGAGTTCAAATTCTGCCTCAGACACTTAATAGATATGTAAACCTAGGCAAATCACTTAACCTCTGCCCTCCTCAGTTTCCTCATCTGTAAAATAGCACCTATCTCCCAGGACTGTTACGTGTAGAGCATCTTGCAACCTTTAAAGTGCTTTATAAAAGCTAGTTATTATTAATATTGTTTGAGAAATCCAAGACCATATCTCAAAAGAATTGAACACTATTAACCATAGCAAAGAATGATCCAAATCAATAATAATAAGATAAATTCAAATTAAAATAACTTTGAGGTTTTTACTCACACTCAGAATATTGGCAAAGATGACATAAGATTGGAATAATGGATGTTGGAGAGGTTATGGAAAGACAGGCACATTTAATGCATTGTTGATGGAGCTATAAATTAGTACAACTGCTCTGGAAAGTAATTTGGTATTATGCAAACGAAGTGGATGAAACGTTCATACTCTCTGATTCAGAGATTCCATTTCTAGGCATATACCACAATAGGAGGTCACCAATAAAAAGAAAGGTTCTAATACACAACAAACATTATTTGTAGCACTTTTTGTGGTAGCAAACAACTGGAAAAAAGGATATCCACTGATTTGGGAATGGCTAAAGAAATTGCTATATGTAGCTAAACAAATCATGGTACACAGATGAAATAGATGACGATTAATACACAGAAGTACAGAAAGACTTAGATGAACCTATGCAAAATTAAGCGAGTAAAGGCAGGAAAATAATATACACAATGAACTAAACAATGTAAATATAAAGAACCAAATATGTGTGTGTGTGTGTGTGTGTGTATTTAACGAATGTTACTTAATTACAAAGAACAAGCTTATCTCCAAAGAAAAGAAACTTCCCCTTTTCAGTCTTTTCAGAGGCGGGAGGTTTATGGATATAGAACATTGCATATAATGTTGAATTTTTTAAGGCAGTGATCAGTTTAGCTGGTTTTTTCCCATCTCTTCTTCCTTTTTCTTCTTCCTTCTCCCCCAAAAGGCTTTGTTATTAGGGATAATTCTCTTGGAAGGGTAAAGAAAAGGGAAAATCTAAGTGATATACGAACAAAAAATATCAATAAAAATCTGCTTTTAAACAAGTCCCAAAACACAAACTTTTGGTGGAAGGAATCCCTATATGACAAGTGTTTGGCACCAAAATGTATCAATTTAGAATTTTTTTCAATGTACCCCTATAGATTTCAAATGTATAAGTGATAGAAATATGAAAGATCACACCATTTAATTAGCACAGTGCTTTGCACATAGTAGATGCTTAATAAATGTTTATTGATTGCTAAGAGATAAAATTGCAAATTACCCCCCTATTCCCATATCCTTAAGCTTAAGCTTACCCCTTTACACTTACGGGCCTCTTCTTACCCTGATGAACAGCCTTTCCATGTGCTGGAATTCTCTAAACATTGCTCTCAAGGTGAACCTCATCTGGAGGAGTATAACTCTCTCTGTAAGTCTCACTGTAATGAAGTGAAGCTCACTGTACTTTTTCCTGTTATTCCCCTACCTTGGTTGCCTATAGTCATATACTATTAATTTAGTTATCAATTGGTCAAACTGTTTTGGAAAACAATTTAGAACTATGTGAATGAATTTACAACAACTAAATTGCTAAGCTATTCATAACTGCTTACTCAGTGATCCTACTATTGGACACACAGGCCAAAGATGATGATGACAGAAACGAAGGTCCCACAGATACCAAATTACTCCAAGCAATACTTTAAAAAAGTAACAAATACCCCAATACAAAATAGATGTCCATTGACTGGTAGTGGCTGAACAAATGAGGGTTGATGAATATAATGGAATAGCATATGATAAGAAGCAATAAAAATGAATAATTCAGAGAAACATGAGAAAGCTTGTATGTGATGTGAGGGAAATGGAAAATGGAATCAGAGGAATAATATAACAGCATAAATGAAAACAACCTTGAAAGATATCTCTAAATTCAAATTAATTGCAGTGACTATTGTTGTTCTATGGGGCTCATGATAAAACACACAGGGTAAAGAAAGTTGAATATCTAATATTTCAAAAATATACAGTAATATATAGAGATAAAGGAATAAATTGTATGTATATCATAAAGAACATATAATAACATAATATACTCATAATCTACCATATAGTCTCTATTAAAGACTTGGAATTCATCTATCATAATTTGGAGGTGACTCAAGGGGAACTCATTGTATCTAGAAAGTTTTACTTAAGCTGTAATTTGGATAAGTTCCAAGTCATTAAAAATGTTGCCAAGAATGCTTTAAATCTTCAATAATCCCATTCTCCCCCTATATCTCCCTGAGACCCATCACTTATAACAAAAAATTAGAAGAGAAATGACACACTTTTCATAACTATGTTACATAAGTGAGATATTCTCAACCAAACAAGGGATTGAAACAATAACAAAAGGTAAAATACATATTTTTGTTTCAATGAAGTTCAAAAAGCTAATGCACAAACAAAATTAATGCATCTAGGATAAGAAAGGAAGTGGTTGAATGGGGAAAATATTTGTTTCAAATTTCTCGGACAGGGGTTTGGTATCCAAGATATATTGACAATTAACAGAAATTTATGACATCAAAAGTCATTCTCAAGAGATGTCATCAAATGAAATAATATTTGTAAAGCACTTAGTACAGTGCTTGGCATATAGTAAACACTATATAAATGCTATCTCTTACTATTATTGTTGTAGTTATTGAAAGATATAAACAAACTGTTCTCAAAAGAATAATTGCAAACTATTAAAGATCATGTAAAAGGATGCTCTAAATCAGCACATATAAAAATAAAACAATCCTGAGGTTTCATCTCAAACACAACAAATTGGCAAAGATGATAAAAGATGGAACTAATCAATGTTAGAGAAGTTATGGAAAGACAGGTACACTAAATTCAATGTGTCAATGAAGCTGTAAATCAGTACAACCATTTTAGAAAGCAATTTGGAATTATGCAAAGTGGCTGAAATATCTGTACCTTTTTTTGGGGGGGGGAGCTAGGCAATGGGGTTAAGTGACTTGCCCAGGGTCACACAGTTAGTAAGTGTCATGTGTCTGAGGCCAGATTTGAACTCAGGTCCTCTTGACTCCAGGTCTGGTGCTCTATCCACTGCACCACCTAGCTGGCCCCAATATCTATACCTTTTGACAAAGAGATTCATTCCACTGCTAGGAATATATCCTAAGGAGGTAATTGATGAAAATACAGGTTCCATATACAGCAAAATATTTATAGCAATACTTCCTGTAGTAATAAAGAACTAGAATGAAAATAAATGCCCATTGATTAGAGAATGGCTAAATAAACTGTGATATAGAAGGATAATGAATTATTATTGTGCTATAAGAAACAAGTGAACTTGAAT